CATTGTATTGTGTTAGGACAATGTCTCCATACACTTTGATAGCGTTTTTCAGATCTTTCTCTTTCTGGTTAGAATTTTATGCCGTCCTTGATAATTTTACCATTATCTGCAGTTTTTTTATTTTTATAATTCATTTCCTTAATTTTACCATTATCTGCAGTTTTTTAATGATTCCTTTCCTTTTAATGAAAGTAAGATATTTGTTTATTGTTTAAACATTGTCTGGAATGAGTGTTTTTGCACCTATGTTACACCATGTTCTACTTTGTTTAAAAAGCACACAGTATTTATGAAGAGCAACTTAACTGAACTTGTTTTTAAGTAAAACAGTCTCCTCCTTCAGGTACAAGTTATCAAGCTCGAACCATTTGGCATCACCACTCTCAAGAAGGGAGCACATGAAGCATATTGTATTACCAAACATTTACTTGCTGATTTTTCTTTTATCTTAATACATTTAGTTAAGCTGAGTTGTCCCTTTATTGTTTTTAATACACTTTCTAGTTTTTAAGAGTACAAGATACTGAAAAGGTTCCGAGGTAAAATAAACTGCATTCAGCACAGAATGGTTCAAGGAATGCAAAACTTTTCTGCAGTGGGTTTGGACATATGCCATCTACACATTCAAAGAGAAATATAGCATGGTTCATTTGATTACATTATAATAGTCCATAGATTAGATTATTCATATATAGAGATAAAAAAAAATAATCTGACCCAAAATTACCATTAAAAAAATTGCAATGGTAAAATATTATTTGTTTGTTTAAAATTATTGATTCTGAAACTATTTTAAGTTTGTTGTGCTGTGAGGCCAATTTATATTAATGGTTATATCCTGTAAATTCACACACAGCTGCAGCAGTATTAGTAGTAAAATCGGCAAGACATCAGAAAAGAAACAAAACACCACAGCAGGAGATTAGGCCTATCTACACACCTTACTCCTTTTTATCCCATGTTTGTGTACAGCCTATGTGACTACATGACACAGAAAATAGAGCTTGTAGTTACATTTTTCTCTACTCATCTTTTCGCATTACAGCTTGTGACAGCACCTTGGGCAAATATCTGGATTCAGTGGGAGGCATTGGTGTAGCAAAAATCATGGCAGTCCACAACTAGCTATGCACAGGTAATAAAATTGAGAAACAAGCCTGGTATGTACAATATCCAGCAGATGAGAGACAGAAATTGTGCAAAATAATAACATAGCCTTTTTAACACATGTTTTTAAACCAAAAACTCAATTTGTTCTTGTTCAAGTTAAGGAATCCCAACAGAGATTCGGTAGGGAGGGAGGATAAAAAGAATTTAAAAGCGATAATTGAAAACATGCCTTTTTTTCAGTTGAGTTTTGGCAGCAGTCAGGGTGTTTGATGGGGCATTGTGACTTGCTTTGAGTTTATATTTAGTTCTTCCAGATTGCCAAGTTAACAGACGGAGGGGGGGCAGTGAAATGTTGGGGCAAAGGAAGAGGGATTGTTCCATAGGTTTCCTTTCCAGAAGTTTTTGTTGCAAAAATGTGTGGAAGCAGTCATATGTGGTTTTGACGGTTTGCAAACAGCTGATTCAATCAATCAATCTCATGACATACTTATTAATTTTGTGTGATATGGTAAAAATCTTATAGAAAATGTGCTATAAGTGCGGATGTTGAGGTGTTTAAAAAAAAAATGCAAATTAACTACTTAATGTTGTAAACAAATATTTTTTTCTACCCCCTTTGTTTGTATGTCCTTACTTTTAAATTTATATGGAAACAGGAATGATTATTAAGGAGAGAATATCAGTAGACAAAGATCCTTTTGAAGACCAAGAAGCACAACAGGAAGGTCAGGAATATAGTTTTGGACATATCAAAGTAGGGCTAGATAATAAAACTATTTCCAAATGCTTTGAATATCCTACTGAGCTTTGCTCTATTCATCATTTCCACAGCTCACATGGGAGAGTCTGTTGTAAGGACAACTATTTGTCATGCACTCTACAAATCTTGTCAATAACAAAGCTTTTCAGGAAACAAAATCAAAAAAGACATGTGTTTGTTGTTTGCTACAAGCCATGTAGAGAAATTGGCAAATATATTAAACTATGCTCTGGATAAATAAAAAACATGCAAAACACAATTGATGACAAAAACGTGTAAATAATCCCGAGTACAGAATCTTCACAGTGTAACATGGTGACATTAATGTTGTTGAGTCGTTTTTTACAGGGACTGTTGGTTAGAAGATATTCTGTTAGAGGTTGTTAAAGGATTTGGGATTGGGTTGGAGCTTCCTTTTTCCACAGACAGCAACACCAAACATACAGCCAGAACTATAACCGAGATCAATCCAACTGCACCAGACTATAAAATCAGTAATTGTAAAAGCTCTACATCCAATCTGACTGAACTCCAAATAAATTGTAAGGAATGGGAAACATTTCCAGTCTCTTAATATATAAATATGGTGCATAAAGAATTTAAAATACATTAACCTGGAATGGCAACAAAATATGTCTAAACAAAGTATTGAATCAGGCGATCTAATTACAAAAAATAAGTGATAGTTTTTAGATTTTTGTAATTTCTTTAATAGCTTTGAAAATTTGCCCTTGGCTCATTATTCAATGATGGAACGCCATATACTATTTGAAAACATTTGAAGCTTGTTGCAAAATAAACAAAATATAAATATATACTACACTATTCTACATGATTCTCAAATGATCAAAATATTTAAAAAGCTAAAATTCAGACTATTTAAAATATGGCTTGAAATAACCAGTTTTCAGAGAGCTTAGTTGAAGTGTACCGCTGGATTTGAGGATGATCCTTCTGTAAATTATGCAAATAGCACCAAAATCGACACTGTTGCGTATTTTGTAGAACACCACAACTACTTCTGCTCACCTTGATTTTAAGCCCGAAAATAATATGAGAAAATTGAAAAAGATGATGCTTCCATGACATCTGGGCATCCCTTTGCCTTCCCAGCCCTTTTGACATGACTCCAGGCATAGGATGACAAAGGGAAGTCCACAGGTCACATGACTGGCAGATGAGGAGAGAAGAAAGCACATTTGCAGAATCTCTAAATCCAGACAGTTTTCCTGAATCTTCAAAAGCTAAGCACAGTTTGATTCAACATAGCCTCATAATGTCACTACCACCGAACATCAGCAGCTGTTCCGGCAGTGAGAAAAAGTGGCTTTGACAATTTTGATAATGGCATTTCACTTGGTTAAACCTGCTTCTTGACTCTCTGGGAGCTCTCTGCAGCTCCTAAATTAAGCGCTGAGTGCTTTCGTTTTTTTCCAACATCCAAAGGGAATCTGCACAAACAGAATTCATGACAAAATCAAACATGAGTGGAGAAGTATTTATTTTGTTATATTTGGTTCAAAAATCTTTCTTATGAGGCTTCTTCAGTTCTAAGTGTTTGTTCCTGTTTGTAGAATCAAAAGAATAGGAGAAACACAGAATTTGTGTTTTCTGGCTCATAATGAGGAAAATTACAAATATATTGCAGAAGCCTAATGTTATTAAAAACAACATTGACAAATTTAGAAGAACAGAAATTATTACGTATTTGTTCTGTTGGTGCATAATTGTCTAAAGTATTCTCGTTACTGGAGCTAAAGCTGCAATTAACATTTTCACTTCTTTTCCCCCATAGCACTATTCCTCCACTGGTACACCTCATTTTGCATTGTACCAACATGAGCTGAAGGGTCAGGGGAAAGGAGCAAACCCTTTCTCCACAAGAACTTCAAAAATCCAGATTACAGCTAAGTGATAAAAAAACCTGACACAAATTCTCTGATATGTTGAAGATACTGTTGGTGGTTTTATCCACCGAAAACATGTGAAGTGGCTTAAAGTTTCATTGCACAAGTTTAAAAAGGACATTTTTTTCTTTCCTATATATGCCTTTAATATTGCATGACATGTAAAATGAGCTTCCCTCCATTTGCTGCTGTTACCTTTATAGGCACCATTAGTCTGTTCATGAGGCCAAATTCTCTGGGCGTGCATTTAACACATCTTTGATGTGATGGATGCTCTTGTTCACCTCGCTACTTTACTTAGTCTCTGCAGCAAGAGCAGGAAACAGGTTCCCAATGACAGATCACAAATGACCAGCCACCAGTGCACCTTAAGCTCTGTCAATGACTCAACATGAGAATCAAACTTTTGTCCCTTTATCCAAACAGAGGGCCAAACTGAATTGTGACAGAATAAGTTGAGAGTAAATATTGGGGATGTAAGAGGTCAGATGCTTTGCTTAGATTTAAAGAGACTAAAAGAAACATATACTTTGTTCGTTATTGTAGTATTGAGCAAATGCCAGAATGTCAGTGCAAAATACAATGTGAAATCCTGTGCAAATTCAAACAATCAAACAGGTTGTGGCAACCACCCCACAGGCTTAAAGTGTTGGCAATCAGACTTGACTCTGATCTGTCAGTTCACATTAGAGTCAACAGATTTCACAAAGATTCCTCGATAGGTGTCTTAACATGTCAGCAAAACTCAGCAAAAGTCTTGTTGCCCCAGATTTAAGCCTGCTTTGTGGCGATGTCAATCCCAACTAGTAAATATTGCTTTTAAAAAATGTTCTAAAACAGTATTGGGATAATAATTTATGATGGTTTATGTTTGATTTGCTTTCATTTTTGTTATAGCAAAAGATAGTAGTTTTCATACTTTTTGAGCATTTTATTTACAGATGAATTCAATCTGAGCTGGTCAGGAGGTTTTGAAAAAAATCCCCTAGGCTAATCAAGTTTTGTTCTGCTGCCTAAAAATATTACCAGCAAGGGTTATGAAAGAAATGGGTTTAAGGCTTTATTTATATAAAGCAATACAGACAACCCACTATCTGAGTAGTATTGCTCTATATGAAATAATCAAACCTTCATTATGCTATTTTAAAAGCAGAGTCCATGATTTGGAAAACACACAGGTCAGCCTGCAGGTGACCCTCTCAGATATGCTAAAGTCCACTCACGTGTGTTGATTTTCTGCAGGGAAATGTGTTTCTCCAGCTGGCGCCGCAGTTTGACTTCAGCTCCGTATTTTCCTGTGGTGCCATTGTCAGCCAGTATGAAGTGGGAGTGGAGACTGTTGAGAACCGTCAGCTTGCTCATGGGATTGGACATGGTTTGGTAAGGACGCACCACCTTTGAGAGGGAGGACAGTAAAGGTGAGAGAGAAGTATAAACATACAAAGTAAAAGGGAGTGTTAATGTGCTGATGAACTGGTTTGTTACGCAGAATAATCTAGCAAGTTTGTTGTAAATATATTTTTACAAGCAAGGGACTTTTTATCTTCATCAAAGTTAGATCAGATTAAGTAATCCAGTTAAACAAAAACTGCTGAGGAAATCGTTCTAGCACAGTACTTTAACCATATTTCAAAGTAATCCTTTAATTTTGCTCTACTTATCCTACAACCTAAAGACATTTTGGTTTTCAAACATTTTTCCACTGTAAAAGCTTAAAGCATTTGATATTTGACTACACTACAAAATAACCCTGTCATGTTACCATCAAAGCCAAGAGGATGAAGTAATGAATTCTCCCATGATCCAACAAATCTCACAAGAATACATATGTCCCTTTGGGCATGGATAATGAGCCAATCTGATGAACATAACAGGTATGGTTTAACAAAACATGCTTTCATTGCATCCAGAAGAGTTATCTAAAAAAAGATCAAAGGAGAACTGCAACAAACTTGTTAGTTTTCACGCTATAAGTATTGCAAATGGCTGCAGACAAGAAGAACAACACGTGGACATTACAACCTGTATTGGAGATCTTCAAAGTTTGGACACATGGAAATGCCCACTCTTCGCACACTCCCTTCTTGCCATATTTCTCTATAAATACCAACTGGCTCTGCATACCTGCTTGCTCCTGTTTTCTGTGCTGTCCCCTTCAATCCCTGTTCTTTCTCCTCTCATATGTCTACATCTGTTTTAGGAATTTAAGGAATTCTAGCAGATGTGAAAATGTCCTCATCCTCAAAAATAATTTTTTACTTCACCATTTCCCAGCATTGTGTGAGAATGTCACTCTAAAATCTGCTCATATGAGCCCTCCAAATATTCAGAGGGGTTTTCTCGCTCACAAAAAAAATGGGTTCTCCCAGCCTTCTGTTACATAAGAGAGCTAGCTGGCCCTTCAAACATGAATCCAGGGAATAATAAAGCTTTACTGGAAGGTTTTCTTCCAATTTTTTTTATAGCACAAAAATATAAGCTGTTGCTTTTTGCCTTTCCATCTGTCCATCTGTGTAGCCAGCCAGCTGGTCATCCATCCATCCATCCATCTATCATCTATCTATCTATCTATCTATCTATCTATCTATCTATCTATCTATCTATCTA